TTCTTTCCCGAGGTTTGGGGACCTGTGGGCCTCAGAGAGGAAAGTCACCTGAAGCCCCTGCTGGGATAAGGACTGAGGAGTTCGGAGAGTTAACCTTATGTGTGTTCAGTAGGACCCTCACCCACCTTGTGCCTTCCATGCCCCTTTTTCTCTTCTAGGTGTTGCAGTATCTGAATAAGATGGCCGGAAATGAATACATGGGTTTCAGCAATGCCACGTAAGGCCTTGTTCACGGGATTGGCAGAAGGCATTGTGGGGGATGGGGATGACGAAGGAGGGGATTCTTAGGAGGAAGAAATCCCAGGGGAACTTTGGCCTCCCAGCTTCCCCTGAGCTCCTTCACTGGCTTTGTTCACTTTGTAAAGAACTCACTCCATTTCTGTTAGTAGTGAGTGAGCCAGGTAGGGTGAGGGTTTCTTGCCAAGCCCTTCAAAACCAAAAACCTTGCCAGTTTTCCTAGCCTAGATGACCAGAGAGTTTGAGGGCTTTGTTTTTCACACTTTATAGTAAAACTCTGACCAGTGCTCACTGGTGTTCAGAAGTGTCCCAGTATGACCATAAGAAATTACAAAGGGGCTGATTCAGTTTAACACGTGCAATCAGTTCCATCTCTCTCAGGGAAGGTATTTCCGCCCCCCTTCTCCTCACACCCATCCCTCAAACATCAAGTACTAAACTGCGTGTTTGCTTCAGATTCCAGTCAGAGAAGGAAACAGGGGACCGGAATTACGCCATTGGCTATTATCTAAAGGAAAAGAAGGTAACTGGGAGAGGCTGGTGGAGAAAGTCCCTGGGAGTGCCGTGGCTGGGTGAAGGGCAGCTGAGGTCAGGAACTCTGGCTGAGACCCAGCCAGTGTGACCGGGATGACTGATGGCCTAAAGAAAAACGTTCTCCCTTCTTTCTCCTCGCAGTGCTTCCCTAAGGGGGTGGACATGATGGCTGCCCTCGATCTCTACTTCCAGGTAGGCAGACGCTGGCATCACTCGGGGCCAAGGGAACAGGACGGGCTGTGCTCCTTGCCCTGAGCCAACGGGATGCCCCTCTCCAGAAAAACCAGGGAAACCTGTTGAAAGATCAGGATGCCAAGAACGTTGCTCTGCATCCAAGGACACAGTGTTCACGCCCACACCACACCCTCACCTCTGTCTCGTCTCCATAGCTGTGCTCCGTGGAGGTGACCTGTGAATCAGGCAGTGTCATGGCCGCCACCCTGGCCAATGGCGGGATCTGCCCCATCACGGGCGAGAGCGTGCTGAGTGCTGAAGCCGTGCGCAACACCCTCAGTCTCATGCATTCCTGTGGCATGTATGACTTCTCCGGCCAGTTTGCCTTCCATGTGAGTGCCCTGGCCCTTCCATCCCTTTGCCACAAGCCTATAGCCCACAAGAGAGGACACTGAGTCTCTGAAGGTGGAGGGGTAGAAGCTTATTCACGCCTCTTATTCCCTAACTTCCAGCCAGGAAGTTAGGATCCCCAGGGGTTTGCCAGACCGTCCCCTCCGACACACGCACCCGTGCAGGCTTCCGACCCAGCCTTCCGCAGCCCTCCAAGTGGCTGGTGCTTCCTCTGCAGGCTTCAGTGTAGATGTCGCTTCCAAAGAGAGGCTTTTTAAAAAGATTTTATTTATCTTTAGAGGGGAAGGGAAGGAGAGAAGGAGAGAAACATCAATGTACGAGTGCCTTTCGTGCATCCCCTGCTGGGAACTGGCCTGCAGGGAACCGGCCTGCAACCCAGGCATGTGCGCTGACTGGGAATCGAACTGCGATTGTCTGGTTCGCAGGCCCGCGCTCAATCCCTGAGCTACACCAGCCAGGGCAGAGAGAGGCTTTTCTGACCACCCTCTCTCAGGTGGTTCCCCTCCTACTTCCTTCTCTGTCATAGCACCCTACATCTGTTCTTCTGTTACCATAAGTGGTAATTATTTCTATTTGTTTACCTATTTTCTATCTCCCAGCATAGGAATGTAAGTTAAAGGAGAGGCTGTGTCCTAATCCTAGCTTTAGTCACAGAGTAGATACTCAGTAAGTATTTCCCTACTGAAGCCATGAACTTAAGCAGGGCAAGGAGAGGACAGGAACCAGAAAAGCTAACTGACAAGCCAGAAGGTTGAGACGGGAGTGTCACTGCCCACGCTGTCATTTGGGGTAGACTGTCACCCCAGGCCTGAGGTACCTCTAGCTCATCCTGTTTCAACTCCGTCCCAAGGTGGGCCTGCCAGCCAAGTCAGCTGTGTCAGGAGCCATCCTCCTGGTGGTACCCAATGTCATGGGAATAATGTGTCTGTCCCCTCCACTGGACAAGCTGGGGAACAGTCACAGGGGCATCAGTTTCTGCCAGGTGAGTTACTTTGCATGTAATACTAAGTATTCTTAAATAAGTAACTAAAGCAATGTTTAGCTCCTGCAGTATAAGTGCAAGGAGTATGTAAATAATCTCTTTATGTCCCGGCTGGTGTAGCTCAGTGGATTGAGCACAGGCCTGCAAACCAAAGGGTCGCCAGTTTGATCCCCAATCAGGGCACGTGCCTGGGTTGTGGGCCAGGTCCCCAGTGGAGGCACATCAGAGGCAACCACACATTGATGTTTCTCTCCCTCTCCTTCCCCTCTCTCTAAAAAGAAATACTTTTTTAAAAAAGATTTTATTCATTTTTCTTTAGAGAGGAAAGGAAGGAGAGTGGGAGAGAAATATCAGTGTGTGGTTGCCTCTCGTGTGTCCCCCACTGGGAACTGGCCTGCAACCCAGGCACGTGCCCTGACTGGGAATTGAACCACGATCATCTGGTTCGCAGGCCTGCGCTCAATCCACTGAGCTACACCAGCCAGGGCTAAAAAGAAATAATTTTTAAAAAATCTCTTTGGCTTACAATTTTAGAGGTTGGTGTCTCTCTTCAATTTCCACAACTACGACAACCTGAGGCACTGTGCCCGGAAGCTAGACCCACGGCGCGAAGGGGGAGAAGTGAGGGTAAGGAAAATCCCAGGGGACTTCTAAGACTATTTCAGAGTAGGACATTCCCTAACACTGCAGGAATACCCTGGGCCAAGCATCCATGGAAGAGGGTCACAGGGCAGAGCTGGGCATGGGTGGGTTCAAAGTTATAGTTAAGCTCAAGTGGGTATGATCTGTTTTCCAGAACAAGACGGTGGTGAACCTGTTATTTGCTGCCTATACTGGAGACGTCTCAGCTCTTCGAAGGTACGTCGGTGACCAAATAAACACAATAAAATACTCCTGGGCAGAGCTCTCACAAGGAGTCATCATAGCAAAATAGCAAAACAGTTAAGTGCTTCATATTTGGAGTCAGATAAAATGGACACACGCTGCATTTAAATGAGATTTTTTTTCAAAATACAGTGCCTTGTGGTAAGACCTTAATTAATGGTAGCCACCATTATGATTAACCTGGGCGTTAAAAGCAAAGGTGGTAGGTAAGGACTCTGCCTTAAATGTATTACCAACATCCACAAACATGTAGGGGTACCTACCACAGGTGAGCAGGGATGTTTCTGGAACCATCACGCTCCCATTTATCTGATGTGGGAGGAAGTCTTATCTGTGGGGGTAGTGAGCATGGACTGTGCAAGGTCTACAGATCTAGGCGTAAGTTCTGGAACCTATCCAGTGTGAACCCAGTTCAGACAGGACCCAAGTGACTCTAGGCTGATCTGGGTTGCTCCAGCTGCTTTCCACTGCCCTCAGGTTTGCCTTGTCAGCCATGGACATGGAACAGAAGGACTATGACTCCCGCACAGCCCTGCATGTTGCTGCAGCTGAAGGTATCTGAAGGCTCACTAAGAGGGGAAATAGATGCTAAGACTCTTCCTTTCCTAACAAGAGTACCCCCCATTGGGTATGCCCTCGAGGTTACGGGGGCAGCCACTTGTTTTGTCCGGATGCCCTGCAGTCTGCAGGCTGACTCTTATTGGGTACTGCAGGGAACAAAATGAGAAGAGACCCCCCCCCCCGCCCCTGCTTATTGGTTCAGAACTCCAGCTGCCCACGATCTGTACCAATATTAAAACAAAAAGGTTCAGGGTCTTTACCCTCTTGTTTTCCTTCTGCCCGTATTCCTAGGACACACTGAAGTTGTCAAATTCCTGATCGAGGCTTGCAAAGTGAACCCTTTGGTCAAGGACAGGTGAATAGGATTAACCTAAAGGGGCTGGAGGCGGGCAGCAGTTTCTGTACTCCTGCCCTCAGGCCACTGCTGGTATGTGCAGGACCAGGGCACTTCCTGTCTCCTCTGTTCCCCGCAGGTGGGGCAACATTCCCCTGGATGATGCTGTTCAGTTCAATCACCTGGAGGTGGTAAAACTACTTCAAGATTACCAAGACTCCTACACACCATCTGAGACTCAGGCTAAAACAGCAGCTGAGGCTCTGTCTAAAGAGAACTTAGAGAGCATGGTGTGAGCATGGAGTGCGCACAGTCCCTGCTCAAGAAAAAGCATGAACTGGCCACACATGTAACCCTTAACCACCAAACAAACACATGCGATGGAAAGCCGCACTGCTTCAGTGCAGACCAAGGCAGACCAGCGCTTTCTGTGAGAGTCAAAATAGCCCACTCCCTTGGCAGACAAAGTATAGTGAAGTGCCTCAGTGGATACCTGCATTAGAGCTTTCCGTGGAGACTGTGGGCTTCTTCAAGGTATAGCCTAATGGCCCGGCCCACTCAAAACCTTCCCAGGTCCTCACCCAGGTCCCCTCTTCCTCTCCCTGAAGAAACCACACATGAGAGAGAGACACTGGTGAAGAGGCTCTAGCCGCCATGCACATGTATATATATCCACAGAGCTATGCACCTGGCTTTAGTTGTCTGGAGAAATCTGCCCCCCTTGGCCAGGAAACAAAAGTTTTATAGACAGAGAAAGTATTTTATGGTCAAATAAACTTTAATTATACAAATGATTATTTTTGCTAAACCCAGTCCTTTTTTTCCCCTAGAAGCATTCAGTTTCATCACCATTATAAAGGTAGAATAAGATGGCACCACAGGGTCAGACAGAGAAAGACATAATTCACATACATACTCACCCCACCAGGCTTTCTTCAACCCCTAATACTGCTTTGGGTGAAGTATATTCTGCCTCGAAGGTGGGGGTGGGAGGCTGAGGGCTTGGGTCCAAGCAGGCCCAAAAGTGTATTGTGCAAGACCTCAGGTCTCTCTCCTCTCTCTGGAAGTTCCAACTGTAGCAGAAATGAAGATAGAACTTCTCAAGAATAAAGTTTGCAGCACTAATCCCCTCAATATCCCCTAAGTGTCTCCCTTAGTCATGGTTGTAACTGGCCCAATGATTATGATGAGTGCTCACTTTGGCAGCACATATATCAATGATTACAATGGACTGACCAGGTGTCAGAGGTGTGCAGATTAAGGCGGATGGACTTACGGGGAGGACAGATGCAGCTGTGTGGGGCTGAACGTCGAGCTTTGAGGGAGGGCTCTATTCTCATTCTGACATGGCCAGTAAACACATCCTGAGGGACCCAGAGCCCAGACTCGGTATGTGCTGTACAGAAAGGGCCAAGTCATTGACTGCACCACTGCAGCCAGAGGTAGAAAGGATTTACTGTGGATTCAGTACAGCCCCAAGAACAAACAGAAGTTACACAAAGGGAGAGAGATTCATAGAGATGAATAAACTCAAACAAAGCTGAAAGTTAAGTCTCCAGGACTGAATATGGTCTGAGAAAGCCTGAGCACAGGGAGGCAGAGGGACTGAAGGAAGCAAGTCAGGGAAAACACATTCATGGTAGCCTAGGAAAATTGGCAGTCGCCTAGCTTTCACAGGTAGAGAGGAAAATGACTAAGATAATGCACAAAGGATGCAACATCAAATTGTGGGAACCAGTGGTTGCTTGAGGCAAAGTTAAAAGGTTTCAGACACTTTTAGGCTGGCCAAGAGTGTGATTAGGGACTCTAGTGATGAACATTCTAGAGGCCTGTAGGCACCTCAAGCCCTGAGTGCGTCAGCAATTCTCCATCCCAAAGGGCAAAGGCAGGCACCACTGGACCCTGGAAATCTGTCTTTAGCGTGTGGACCACAGCAACCTGGCTTACGTCCACCAAGCTCAGCTTCTGGGCCTCATAATCCAGCAGCAGTCCCACCTTCTCTGGCTGCCCAATGCCCTCAATAGGGGCTTTCTTCTTGGCTAACATGGAGTGCCACTTGCGCTGGGCATAGCCGAACACCCAGGAACGATCGTCAACACCGATGCAGCTGTCCCGAGAAATGTCCACGTCTGCCACTCCTACCCGGAACTGCTGGGAGCGCTTCACTGTCACTTCCCAGTAGTGCCTGCCACTGGTGACTACTGTGTCTGCCAGCACCACTGCCCATTCCCGGAAGCGCTCTACATTCAGGGCCAATTTGCTGGGCTCCAATCCCACCAGGCCGTATTTGACACCTGTGCCATCTTTGAAGAGCGTCAGACTGCTGTGGGCGGTTTTCTCTTCCAGTTTGAAACTGACTCCTGCAGGAAGAGCAAAAAGACTGGGTGATGACAGGGGCTAGAACCCTAGAACTAGTGATATATGCATATTGCAATCTGAAACAGGGAGTCATGAGACCCCGAAGAAGCAAGGAACAGTCAGAATGTCAAGCGTGCAAGAAAGCGGGGGTGGGTGGGGGGTGTACGGAAAGCCCAAGGAGCCGAAAAGCTAGGACGGGCGAAACCCTGGGTTTGAAAGAAACCACAGTGTCTGTCATAGGTTTGGAATCAACACGAACACATGTTGGGTGAGGAGAAATGACCCAAGAGGAATCGGAATAACAGACGAAAACTACTCTGAGGTATAAGAGAGTAAAAGGAGATAATCCTACCTCTGCGAGCTTCTACGGCAGTAACCCCTAATCGTCTGGCGCCCCAGCGGCACAGGCACGACGAACGTGCAAAGGGCAGCGCCATCTTGCGTCCGAAAAGAACAGGGCACGCCCCCTGCCCTGAGAACCCGCTTCCGGCCCACGTGCTCCGCTTCCAGTGAGTGCGGGAGAGGCCGTCGCGCATTGTGATGACGTTAGAGCCGGAGCCCAGCAGGGGGCCGCCATTTTAGTGAGTCACCGGCGGTGTGTACAGTTTATTCAATTTTTCTGCGGGGAATAATGCTCACTTTTTAACTGGAGAGGACGTTTAGAGAGGTGGTGTAGCAAGATGGTTAAAAGTGATTTTAGAATTAAGTAACAGTTGGGTTCGAATTCGGCTCTATTTAGCTTTAGACAAATCACTTCTGTGAGCCCCAGTGTTCTCATTTGTAAAATAAAAATACCTAGCCGACACACCTTGGTAAAAATTAAATGAGAGAGAAGCCTAGAATACAACTTGATAAGTAGCGACCTGTGGATAGTTGTTGTAATAAATACTAAATACATAAAGACTGTAAATATGTTGGTTTTGTATTTTCAAGGGTAGGAATGGGGGGTTTAACTCAATACTCGATCTTCTCAACCAAAAACACTGTTTTAGTTGAGTGAAAGGGTATGAGGTACTTGATTATGACATTTAACATTTTCACCTGCTTGAGGCAGTGTAACCCTGCTTCCTAAATTTTTCAATTTTTGCACTTTTAAAAATTTATATATTTTTCCAATACCATTCAGCCCACTTATACCCCGCCCCCTGCCCTGTGCATCTCCCAATGCTCTGCTGGCCAGCCCCATATCAACATTCCATCTCCGTTCTCCTATTCCTCAAAAAAGCAATTTTAGGTCCTTAAGGGCCTAAAAAAATTATTCTCCTACCCCAGAGATCCAACCACCATTCCTGTGCAGAAGGCACTAGTTGAGGCCACAGTCATCTTTGTCCTCAATTGGGGCTTTCTCTTGTTAATAGTGTAGCTTCAAAGCTGGTCTCCCAGCCTCCATCTGCCTGCTTTAATCTAATGTCCACACTACAGTCAGTGATATTTCTAAACCACAAATCTGATTGTCCCACCCCCCTGCATAAATCTTTTAATGTGCCTTTATCATATTCCCTTGCATGGTCATAAGGCTTTACATGATATGACTACTGCCTATGGTCTTTCTTTTTCCCCCCCTCACAAAACAGTTCCTCTTTCAAAGGTCTACAGTCTAGTGAGGAGATGGATGAGAATATTGGCATCTGCAGTAGGATGCACTAAGTGCCATTATTTAAGTGCTTACAGGATGCTCAGTAAGCAAAGGAGTAGCCTCTGACTCCTTGTATAGAAGTGTTGGGAAGGGACTTTCAGAAGCTACAGCTATGACTTGAAAAGCAAAAATGGTTAAGCAGGTGAAGGAGCATCAGCCTTCAGAAGATCTCAGCTAAAGACTTCCTCAATATACATATTCTAGAGTATCTCATCTATGCTGGCGGAAACCCCTGTCACCTCCTGGAGAAGGACTCTCAGGAACTCCACCCCATACTTCTTTCCCAAGTTCCAGATCTGTCTATATATCCAACAGCCTACTGGACCTTTGTACCTGGATGTGCTTCAGTCCACTCAATCTTAACATGTCTAAAGCTGACTTCCTACATAAACTTACTCTTCCTAAATTCCCTGACCCTGAGCTTCAACCCAGAACCAGCCAGTTTTCCAGCCCAGAAACCTGGAAGTCCATGACCTTTGTCTCCTCACATATTTGGTTGTCGTTGAATATCACATTATTTCTACCCTGGAGTACCGCATTAGTCTTTGTCAACTGGTCTCCCATTCTCCTCAATGCTGTCTAGAGAACATTTAAAGAGGCAGCTACTTATTTCATCCATTAGGTTGTGAATTATTAAGAATAGGAATAAAGTTCTTTGTTCTCTGTGCCCCGGGTTCTCATTATTCCCAGTAATACAGAGAAAGTGTCCATTGTTTTTTTAATGAATAAGTGAATATAAAGAGATGTTTTGTGCCCACATTCCTGGAGTGCAGTGACTCATTCTGTCCACCAGGGGACAACCTGGTCCAGTCTTTCTGTCTAGTTTAATGCAGGAGAAGAGAGGTTTCTATTCCTTTTAAGCCCAGGAGCACAGAGGTAGAGGAGAGATTTCCTTCAGGAAAGTCCTCCTCAATCAGTTCTTTCTGCATTTTGGTAATAATGAGAGGGAAGTTTCAGGACTGTGTTTCCGTAGGATTTCTCCTTTGGTCCTATCCTGGTTGTGAGAGCTGAAGCAAATCATTTCTTACCTGTCATCTCTTGCATCATTTCACTTGTACAGATGGACTGTCCATCTGATCGACTCACTTTCGTCACTCAGAGGATTTACCTGCTTAATTTCTAGTGAACGAGTAATTAATTCTTAGCATTTACATGATAACAATTAGGAAATGATAGAAATTTTATTGACGAACAGAAGGGGGAAGACATTTCAGGTACAGGGGCAGGTTAGGTCTGGATTAGGAAACAAAATGGCATGTTTGACATGCCATTGTCATGGCATGTCAAATGCCATGTTTTTTTTCTTTTTTTCTCTCTCTTTTTTAAAATTTTTTAAATTGATTATGCTGTTACAGTTGTTCTATTCCCCCCTTCATTCCCCTCCACCCTGCCCCCCATCTCCACCATTACCCCCCTTTAGTTTATGTCCATGTGTCTCAAGTCCTTTAGGTTCTATATTTCCCATGCTATTCTTGCCCCCCATCTATTTTCTATCTACTGTCTATGCTACTTATTTTCTGTACCTTCTCCCCCCATCTCCTCCTCCCACTCCCCCTGTTGCTAACCCTCCTTGAGATCTTCATTTCTATGTTTCCACTCCTGATCTAGCTGTCCTTTTAGTTTGCTTTCGTTTTAGGTGTGGTTGTTAATAACTGTGAGCTTGTTGTCCTTTCACTGTTCATATTTCTTTAACTTCTTTTTCTTAGATAAGTCCCTTTAACATTTCATATAATAAGGGCTTGGTGATGATGAACTCCTTGAATTTGATCTTATCTGAGAAGCACCTTATCTGTCCTTCCATTCTAAATGAAAGTTTTGCTGGATAGAGCAATCTTGGTTGTAGGTCTTTAGATTTCATGACTTGGAATATTTCTTTCCAGCCCCTTCTTGCCTGTAAGGTCTCTTTTGAGAAATCTGCTGACAGTCTGATGGGAACTCCTTTGTAGGTGATTGTCCCCTTAGCTCTTGCTGCTTCTAGGATTCTCTCCTTCATTTTAATTTTGGCTAATGTAATTATGATGTGCCTTGGTGTGTTTCTTCTTGAGTCCAACTTTTTTGGTACTCTCTGAGCTTCTTGGATTTCTTGGAAGTCTATTTCCTTTGCCAGATTGGGGAAATTTTCTTTTATTATTTGTTCAAATAAGTTTTTCACTGGTGGTTGTGCCTTTCCCCCTTCTGGTACCCCTATAATTCGGATATTGGAGCATTTAAAGATGTCCTGGAGGTTCCTAAGACTCCTCATTTCTTTGAATTCTTGCTCCTTGACTCTTTTCTGTTTGGCCATTATTTGCTTTCTTCTGGTCCACTCCATTGATTTGAGTCCCAGTTTCCTTTTCATCACTATGGGTTTCCTGTGGAATTCCATTCATTTCCATTAGTTTAGCCTTCATATGTTTCTCTAATTTGTGGCTATAATCAACCAGATCTGTGAGGACCCTGATGACCAGTGTTTTAAACTGTGCGTCTGAGAGTTTTGCTATTTCTTCGTCGCTTAGATTTATCTCTGGGGCTTTGAGGTCTTCCTGCGACATTTTTGGTCTGTTCTGGTCCTTTAAATGTGAGAAGCGGCACCTTGGACTCCCAGGCCGCTGGGTTGTGACGCTGTATGTGGGGGTGTGGTCAGAGCGGGGAAATGGCGGCGCCCTCTATCGCCGCGGCCGAGGCCGGCCGGTCCAACCGCCCACTCCCTCGCCTGTCCGCTGGCGCGCAGTCAACACGCTGCACCGCCTCCCCACTGTCTCCTCTGCAGTCACTCACCCGGTGGGTTGCTCGGTCGCTCAATAGGTCCAATCCTGCGTTTGGAACCCGTGCGTCTGGATTCGCGCGTCTGGATTCCGCACCCGGGTCCGACCGAGCCCTCCTGTGCAATCCCTCACCAGACGCCGGTTTCGCCCCTTACTGGTCAGGCTGAAGAATTTGTTGTTAACGGACTTCCGAAAAGTTCAATTTTCCGTGTTCTGGTTGTGTTTTCTGATGCTAATATTTAGTTGTCCCTAAACTTGGTTGTGTGAGAAGGCACAGCACATCCACCTATACCTCCATCTTGGCGGAAGTCCCTCAAATGCCATGTTGACAACAGAAGCTGGATGTTGTCAGAGTTTCATGCTGGGGAGATAAGGAGAGCAGTTAGAAAAGTTGAGACTGGATTGAATAGTTATGTGTGCCCTGATAACGTTTCAATTCTTCTTGAAAGTGGCCAAAGGTGACCCTTGAAAATGGTTTGCTATTCACTTGACCCAGAAAAATCCCACCAAAATAATGCAAATCAAGAGATTTAAATCTGCATGTTCATTTCAAGAACACTTGTAAAACTTCCCAGGCCATCAAGGGTTTGCATATCAGTGATGCCACCAAGAATCTGAAGAATGTCATGTTGCAGAAGCAATGTGCACCATTCCGCCATTCCGTTGTTAAGGTGGTGGAGTCAGGTGCGCCCGGGCCAGACAGCAGGGCTGGATGCAGGGTCAGTGCCCAAAGTGAGTGCTGAGTTTTTGCTGCACGTGCTTAAAAGTGCAGAGTGTAATACTGAACTTAGGGGTTTAGATGTAGATTCTCTGGGCATTGAGCACATCCGGGTGAACCAAGCTCCTGAGATGCAGCACAGAACTTACAGAACTCCTGGGCTGATTATCCCATACAAGAGCTCTGCCTGAAACACTGAGGAGGTTGCACAGAAGTAAAAGGTGTCCTAGAAGAAACTGAAGAGACAAAACCTTATGACCTGGGAGTAAACTCAGAAGGAAATACATACTAATAAATGGAGAAGAAAATAAAAGAATCAGGCATTCATGAGCTGTTGAAGGGAATGCAGGGAAATGACAAAGTACTTTTATA